CCCCTGCGGAGACCCGTGGGACTGAGCGGTGGAAACCCGTGGTGATCCCTCGGTTCCCCGTGAAGCCGGAGCGATGCCGGGTTTGGGAGCCGTGCCGGCCAGCAGTGCCGCAGTGATGCGCGGCCGCGGGATGCGGGTTGTTGGTAAATGACCTCCCTGGTATTTGCCTGTCACGAATCTCCAGGTCCCTTGTGTCAGTGTAACATACATGGTTTAGGCTGCAGGGTTTTATTTCTGAAGCTGCTATTTACGGGAGCGTTCCCTGAGCTTCGTTTCACTGTAGAAGGCTGGTGCGGGGGGAGAGTGGAAGAAAACACACACGGAAAGTACTCCCGAAGTTTTGAGGAGAGTTTGTGCGTGTTTGTAGAGTGGGAGCCAAAGCTCTAGCCGGGTACGTTGAGTCAAGCCTCCTCACTTGCTCTCTGGCATGAAGATGTGCCGTCCTTTGCCTCTGTCCTTCCCCCCTTCCTGGAAAAAAAAACGGAGTTCTGTCAGGCTTCTGGATGAAAAAAAACTTTCCCTGAGTATCTGAACTGCAGAATAAAGCACACAGCGTTTTAAGTGCTGTGGCTGGTGACAGCAGCTTGGTTTGAGGCATTAAAGAATTCAAAATTTCACCGGGTCGAGTAGAATTTCATCATATATTTGATATCACTTTCTGTGATTTGTAAGTGTCAGTATTTGACTCTTGTCACTTAGCATTTGAAAATAAAATTTTGTGTCAGATCCTATTGGATTTCTGACTTTAGGAAGTCTTAAAAAAATAATGATAAGTGTAAGAGACAGTATTTCAGAGCTGAATTATCATTTGGGGCTGTCCCCTGATCGATTTAATTTGGAAAAACAGCTGGAGTTCTTCCTTTGGTGCTCTCACCCTGCAGCTCACTTCTCTTTGCTTTAATGTACAGCTTTTGTATTCCAGTATCTTATTCCTTGTCTCCTGATTATGCTCTGAGGCTGGGAATCCAGGATTTTAGTAGTTTTCTGGGCATTTTACTAGAGACAGTCTCTTTTTTTTAGTGTTTCTTGAGCAGTAGTTCGAACAGGATCGTGTTCAGAGCCCTGCAGAAAACACCTCCTTGCACTGCTGATGCAGAATCCTCTGGTGTAAATAAATGGCTTTTGAGGTGTAGCTGTGCACAGACATCGGGTTTGTCCTGAAGAGCATCGTGTAAAACTTTTCCTTCACCCCAGACTGCAGCAGGTTTCAGCTGAACTTCCATTCTGCTGTTGGGAGTTGTTTCAAGTGTGGTGTAAAGAGCTGAACCCTGATAACGTTTTTCAGCTTTGCTGCTTTTCTGAGCTGAGAACTCTTGGGTTGAGTTTTCTCGTTGGAACTGTCCCCCGGAACGCTGATCGATGGCGATTGCCATCAGTTGATCAGCGATCAATTGAATTAAAGTCCTTTCTGTAGCGGGCAACGCTCCTGTTGTTCCTGTAAGCGGGACTTCACACCTCGCAGAGGAAGATCAGCAGAAACCTTTGTGCTCTCTTGGCGGTTTGTTTATTTATCAGTTTCACTGTTTCTCGCAGCCTGTTTTGGTGCTGCTCTGAGCCTTTCATGGGAGGGGAAGACAGAGGGAGAGGCAGAGTGCGGTTTAGCAGTACCGAAATGAATCGGTGTTTCTGTAGCACTGGAAATTTCTTTTCATTTTTGCTGTGGACTGCATTTCAGTTTGACAGTGCCCTGTTTACCTGGACACGGCTCCCTCTGCGGGGCTGCAAAGGGCTAATTTTCTTTTATAAAAAGCTGAAACTCCCTTCGGGGGTCTCTAAAGCAGAGCCCATCTGCCCGAGCCCCAGGGGAGCTGTGGGGATCCTGCCCCGGGGCTGGCTGCTCGTGGGGGCCATTCACACTCCCGGGGTCTCAGGGTGGTGGGGTCGTTTTGATTTTGGTTTCTGGACGCTGGGATCAGCTCAAGCACCGCCTGGCTCCTGTGCAGTTCGAAGCCCTTGGTTCACTGCTGTAGCTCAGCTATGGGTGAGCTGGTTTTGTTTCCTGAAATAAACGTTCTGCAGCTCAGGGCTGCCCGAGGTGCCGGGCAGGATTCGGTTTCACGTGTCGCTCGGGCAGCGGGTTCCTCTCCCCGGAGTCCCGCCGAGGAGCTGTGCAGAGGGACTCCCCAGATGAGTAAGGATTGCAAAAGTGAGATCCTGCTCTTGGCCTACGTTGACTTTTTACCCTCTGAGCAGACGTCAGGCTGCAAGGGCTGCGGTTTATCTCAGTAGGGAAAAATCAATGACTCACATTTCCACAGAAAGAAATGTAATTTCCAGTCTCATAGCAACTGTCCTTTCAACAGTTTCAAACCTTCTGTGACAAAATGTTTAACGCTCGCTGATCATCTTTTAATGCTCTAGGCTGGTCCACCCCCTCACCTAACCTGAAAGCTTGGGTTTTTTACATCTCTAAACCCCCCAGTACTGGAGGGGGGATGCTGGCAAGGCACACTGAACAGTTCCCTATAAAACCTCAGCAATGAGGGGAGCGTTGCTGGCTGTGTCACAGGGAGATGGAGGGAGTGGAACAGGGTTTACAGTTCAAACCTGGGTTCCTTCTGCTTTGATTTTGAATCCCTGGGGTTTTTTTTTTTACACCTTCAGATGTTTTCAAATAGGTTTGGCTGGTAGCTCAGGTGGAATCTTTTGGAAAATTGTTTTTAGTTGGAGGAAGATATTCTTTAGTAGAAATGCTTCATCTTGGTTTTCTTCCTAGATCTCATGACTCGGCTTTGTTTAGTTTCACGAAAACCCAGGAAATTCAGTAGATCCATTTGACAGCAAAGCTCAGCAGGGGGTAGGTCTGACCCAGCGCTGAGGGGCAGCTGGAGTGGGGGTGTTGGCAGGGGGAAAGGGGGCTCATACCCTGCTCCAGCCTGGGGCCTGGGCTGTGCTGGGCCGAGCCACGGGGCGAGTCGATGGCAGGGCTCCCAGCCAGCACCTCTGCCCCATCAGGAGGACAGGCCGGGTGTCCTGGGGGAGGGACAGGACGTGCTGCTGCTCCCTCGCAGCAAGCCACAGCAGAGGACCAAAAAATGGCCAGCTAGGACCAAAAGTGCTAAGCACCAAGATTCCCCTGGAAGCTGGGGCCTGTCTGCTGGTCAGAGTCACCATTAACTGAACACCTCGTCGCTTCTCTCGCAGCTGATTATGGAAGAGGGGCACAAGAGCAGCAGCAGCAGTTCCGTGACGCCGTCGCCAGCGCCGGCTGTACAAGGTACAACACTACAGGCAGCTCAGCTCTCTCATATTGCTCAACAGGTAAAGCCTGGGCCAAATCTCACCAAACATTTGAGGTAGTTAAGAGACATTTTTTTTTTTTCCGTGTGCTACAAACTAGATTCATTCTGGAGGTTTAGAGAAGAAAAAACAAAAGGAGGTTGAGGAAAATGGGCTTGGTTCTTGATGGACGACTCAGAATTGATAAAATGGCTTCTGCTCCAGAGACCAAACATGAATTTTTGGGTGCAAAAATGCAGCCCAGCATTTTTGTTCAGGGTTACATCCTTTGAAATCCTCACCGACCTGACAGGAGCTGCTTAGAAATGCACTGAGGACCTAATTCTCTTTTTTTTTTTGGTCAGAAAAAGTATTTACAGCTCCTTTTGTAGTAATGACAACCCTGGGTGCTCAGCACCATGGAAACACTTGGATTTTAGCCCAGCGTGAACATATTTCATGTAACAAATCATACAGAGCTGGAAATGTGACATGCTTACTACAAGGTGACGTCGCTTCCAGAGCTTTAACCTGAATCCCTCGTGACTCAGCCTCGGAAGGATCTCTGCCCAGGTGCAGCTTCCTCCCCCAGCCACCTCGGCCGTTGGGATTTTGATGCATGCTGTAGATAAGTGCATGAGGCAGAGGCAGGACCAGAGCTCAGCGAGTGCTCTGGGACTCTCTTATGAAGTTGCTGTGACTGAACACTGCACCGTCCCAGAGGGAAGTGAAATGGGAGTTTAGCTCTGTGAGTTTTAATGAGCCCTTCGTCTTTTCACGTCTTCCAGATGAATGGAATTAAGCAGTGAAGAAATTGGGTGAAGAAACTGGTTATTTCCTTACACATCTAGCTGTACAACGTGTGTAACTTGAACAGATTTTTAAGTGCAAAGGCTCGTGCGAGTTCAACATCAAAAATACAAATCTGTTGGAATGGAAAAAGTATTTTCTTGAGGAGTGGATGTAGCAATTAACTTTTTGCCAATTAAACCTAGATTCCAGCTACAACGTTTATTAAAAGTGATCATTTTAAAAACATGAAAGAACAGATGCTGCAATTATTTTTTTGGAAACTCTGCTCTTTGTTCCTCACCCCTGTCCAGAGCTTTCCTACCTGCTCCCCTTCACTTCCTTTCTGCTCTGGCAGCTTCTCCCACAGCCCTTGTGCCTTGAACTTTCCCAGTAGATTAATCAGTTTTTCCTGTACTGAACTCTTGTGATTTCTCCTCTGTGAGATCTTTGAACTATAGCCTCATAGTGGTTGCTTGAAAAAAAAAAACCTCAGTCCAAAACCACCAAATATGTACATTATTCATGCTGCCTTCCGCATTATTTCTGTGCTGTGAGTCTGATCTGCCCTGAGCCCTCGCTCTTGTGGATCATTCCATCTTGAGTTATAGTGCCCTAAACTCCTCTTAACTTCAGTGAGAGTGAAGGCTGCCTACTAGGCACTGTAATTTCTGCTCATCTAAGTCAAATACATTCTTAAAATGGAATAAAAACCCTTAAACAATAAACTGCCAGCAATGTGGGGCTCTATCTGTGCGTACAGATGGGTTCAGTGACAGCAGTCGTGCCCCCGTGGCCTCCCTGTTGTGATTCTGAGGAACTCTCTTCGTCGTGCTCCTCTCAGAACTGCTGGGAGTTGCACTGCAGCACTTTAATCCTCTGCACATAGTTCAGCATAGTTGATTTTCTCCCTAAAGAAGCAACTTTCAGCTGGTTTCGTATGCAGATACGCATCTCAAAAGTGTGCATTTTTAAAGGACACCTTCTGTGGCTTAATTAGACTTAAAAGAAGCTTCTGCTGATGCGTGTTCCCCACTAGTGTCCCTACATGTGTGTACACTTCCTGAGCTCTGTGCAACAAACGTTTTTGTTGATGACTCTTTGATCTCTTGTAGATGTCTCTACGAGGTCCCGCTCCCCTGACAGTTGTTCAGCTTCCTGGAGAGCAAGTCCAGGTCCAGGGAGTCATCCAGACAGCTCAGTCCTCCTCTGTGATCCACTCACCTCAGGTGCAAACAGTGCAGGTAACTACAAACGTCTGCCAAAAAAACAGGAGTCCAGGATTCTGTGTGGGAAAGGACTCGTAAGGGCTTGTCTGCCTGGGCAGAGCCTGAGCGAGCCAGGGACCCTGGTGGGGGTTACAACCTTCTGAGTGATTATTTAGGCTTGGAAATTTTTTATAGTGCTCAATTGTCTTTGGAGTTGAAATGCAACTATCTGACTTTATAAAGAGAACCAAAGCAACCCCCCACTCTTTAGCTGGTGCTGTTAAACAGGTGGCAGGTGTGTTTTAATACCTGGCCAAGGAGAGTGCAGAATAACCCAGTGAAGACAAGCAGGTGTCTGGAGAAGCTAAACCTGAGTGGCAGAGGATGGTGTGAGTG